CAGACAGACAGACAGACAGACAGACAGACAGACAGACAGACAAACAGACAGACAGACAGACAGACAGACAGACAGACAAACTGACAGACAGACAGACAGACAGAGAGACACAGAGGCCCAAATAACACAAGGAAAAGTGATGACAGTAAAAGAGAGAGAAAACAATGATCTGTTGATGCCTATGAATAAACTAAAAGAGAGAATGCAATTCAACACAGATATGAGCTTAACGCTGTCAAACAATATGTCTAAGAAGAATAAAAATGTTATTAATACAATTAAATGAATTTGTCACAAATGATGAAGTATTAGATAAAGTTAGGATTGAAGCTACAATATGACCACAAAAAGGGGAGAAGAGTTTTGACGAACTATGCCAAAGAAAAGATTACCCTGTCAAACATGGAATTGGAGACAACATGGAAAAAGAAGAAGAGGCAGACCAACTGGCAGTTACAGGAGTACGCTCAGAGATGGGGCAATCGCCGGGGTGGGGGGGGGAGGGGTGTTAAAGAGTGAGGTTGGTTGGTTAATTGGTTGGTTGGTTAATTGGTTGGTTGGTTAATTGGTTGGTTGGTTGATTGATTGGTTGGTTGATTGATTTGGAAAGTTGCTTGGTCGTGTTTCCTATTTGTTTGGTTGGTTGGTTCCTTGTCTTTCTGTTTGTTTGTTTTTATTTTGTTTGTATGGTTGCTTTAACCTGGGTTTTTTAACTGTCTGTTAGATTGGTTGTTGTTTGTTTCTTGCATTTTTCAGTAGTGGGGAGGTTGTTTTTTGGGGGGGGGGTTGTTGTTGTTTTGTTTTTGTTTTGTTTTTTGTTTTTTGTTTTTTGTGTGTTGTTATTTTTTTAGTGTGGTTGTTTTTGTTTTTTTAGTTGTTTTTTTGGGGGGGTGGTTGTTTCTTTAAAATCGTTTTCTTAAAGATGAGTGGAGGGTGCTGCTTTCTTTTCCTTGTTTCTTTCATGTTGTTGCTGTTTTCTGATAGTGTTATTGCTACTGTGTCCGTTGTTATCATTACTATTATTATCGTTGTTGTTATTGTTGCTGCTGCTGCTGCTGCTGCTGCTGCTGCTATAATTGCTATTTTCGCTGTTGTGGATGGTGTTGATGATGCTGTTCTTGTTGTTGTTGTTGTTGTTTTTGCTACTGCTGCTGCTGCTGTTGTTGTTGTTCTTGTTGTTCTTGTTGTTGTTTGCTTTTTGTTTGGGGGGATGGAGATAGTGGAGATAATAATTGTAATATCTATTTCGTGATCAGACGATTGAATTATATTGGCTAGAAGTTTTGAATGGTACCAACAAGATTGCTCTTTGATCTAGAAAGGAACAAATGACAGGCAGAATAGGGTGTCTGTCGCTTACTATTTGTTTGCTTATTGCTTCGTTCTTTTCCTTTTCGCTTTATGCTGAGCGGATAAAAGTTAACCTTACATTAATTGTTTTCCATATGCTTTGGCTTTTGCTACTGGTTTGCTCATTTAGGCAAAGTTCATTTTAACGCCCCAACCAAACAAAATAAATAAGCAACGCCATACAAGCAAAAACGAAAAAGGAAGCAAAGATTTCTCCAGAATTCTTCAGCCTTCAATCAACTTTTTTTTTTTTACATCGATCACAATGCAGTAATATGATGCATTTTGACAACACAAATCACCAACAAGCAATGCAGTTGGACCTGCTCTAACAACCACCTGTAGGCCTATAAAACAACCACCTGTACAAACGGCCACTTCTCGTTTCCTCCCTTGCGTATTTTTTACATTGCACAGTGTAAGACGCACCTTATTAAGAACGCCTTTTTTCTCCTTGTCAATAGGTTGGCGTCTTACACAATTTCGATTGGACTTTGGTTGTTTTTTATCACACTAGTAATGTTGCAAGCAGTGACGGATTGGAAACAATAAATTATGCATCGTGATTGCGTGACAAAAACAATACATGTCGACGAAAAAGAAGTGACACGTAATCTAACCCCCTAAAACCAGACACAACACAGCTTGCTCACTTCGATAGGCATTTGGAAACCAGTGTGCCTATTTATCTATGTATTGCACTCTCTTCGATTATCTCTTTTTCTTCTAACTCGTCTCTTCGGTTTGGTTTTTTTTTTCCTTTACCCCCCCCCCTCTTTCTTTTCTTTCGAAACTCTCTCTCTCTCTCTCTCTCTCTCTCTCTCTCTCTCTCTCTCTCTCTCTCTCTCTCTCTCTCTCTCTCTCTCTCTCCTTTTTTTTCTCTTTCTCCGTTCCTCACGACGTTAAGTCAAGTAAACTATGCAAGTCTTACATTTTCCCAACACAAAGGAAACATGGACACGTATTAAAATAAAACGACTACCACATGAACTGGAAGCATGCAGAACAAGGCTCAAAGCTTCAAATACTCACAAAATACACAAAGAAAAACAATAAGTTCTTTCAGAAAATAAGGGTTGGGACAACCATGCTCAACAATTTGCTTTTTGAGTGATGCATGCATTGAATACATTAACGTACACTGTTTGCATTTCATGCAAAGCTTACCTGGTTTTCCAGAGAGTACTTCGGGGACGGGAGAGAGGGAAGGAATATAGCTTTGTCGCTCTTACTTTTGACGCGAGATACTTTTGCATTGGAATGGTTTCGCTTAGCAAAAAAGTTGTAGATATTGAAAAGGGGGTCTGAAATTGGAGGGGAGGGGGACTCTTGAAAGTTAACATAAAAAGGGGGGGGGGCGGTGAAGTTTTGGTCAAAATGGCATTATATTTTGTGTTCTCAGAAAATACACTACTGTACAGTAAAGTAACTGTATATACAAAGAGAGAGAGGGGGTGAGACAGACAGACAGACAGACAGACAGACAGACAGACAGACAGACAGACAGACAGACAGACAGACAGACAGACAGACAGACAGACAGACAGACAGACAGAGGCAGATACAGAGACAGAGACAGAGAGACAGACAGACAGACAGACAGACAGACAGACAGACAGACAGACAGACAGACAGACAGACAGACAGACAGACAGACAGACAGACAGACAGACAGGCAGACAGACAGGCAGACAGAGACAGAGACAGAGACAGAGAAAGAGACAAACAGGCAGACGGACAGATAGACAGGTCGAGGAAGGACGGGAAAAGAGAGAGGAGGAGAGTACAACCAAATGAAAACCGTAACGTGAAGACCGCACAGCTGAGAAGACCAACCTGTGGGTTCTGGCGCTTCCCTCAAGAAGTCCACAAAGTAGGGTTCTAAGTCCATAGCGTTGGCCATCGCTGACCCACAGTCGTCTTCGGCGACCTGGACAAACAGAGAGAATCGTGAACTTCATAGTTTGGTTGTGTATGTTCCTTGCCAGTCTCCTTGACAGTCTTTTTAAAGTTAATGTCGGTGTTTCTACGCCCCCGTCAAGACACAATTTGTATGTCTTTCATCTATATTTGTCAGTCAAATTTAAACAGAAATAAGTTTTAAATGGACATAAACTTTGTTGACCCAAAAGATATAATAATAAAGTTTTGCCTTTTTTTTAACGAGCGGGAAAATGTCGGTTTCTTCAATTTAATAATTTTGACGAGCGCATGATTTCACCACTGTGCCTCAAAAGACTAGTCGAGTTCCCACTGACCTGTTTGATCGTCTTTTCAAACCAGTCCTTGTCGGCCTGCTCCGTGAAGCGATCGGCGATGACACGGTTGCATTCGTGCTTCCACAGCGACATGAGCACGGCGGTCGAGCTCACCACTTCGCTGAGGGTGATCAGCATACCCTGGGGGTATTAAAAAAAAGTATAGGTGATTGATTAGTAGCAGTGTTTAGGTGATATTATTTCTTATTTTTGACTTTAAATTATTGACCTGTAGATTAACAGAGAGGGCAATTGATTAGAACCAATTATTACATGATAGTATTTCTTATTTTTTACATAATTTGTCATGTAGATTAACAAAGGAATTAATTGGTAGTGGTGTTAACTTTATTTCGTCCTATACATTAACAGTATCCCCTCTGCAGTTCAGTATAGTGTGCTTTGAATTTAGTTAATGAAAATTCACACTGTATTGTATTGTGTAGAGCACTACAAACCCCAGAATGACCCCCGATACAAGAAAGTTTCTGTTTACAGTATGCCTGTTTGACATGAGAGACAAACACAAACACTGGGCGCCTGGTCACATACTCCACGTCCCCCAGTCTGTACATCTTTCGACAATTTTGTCAGAAGCAGTAGAACAAAACTGAATAACAACTGGATTTTTGTTGTTGTTTTTATGTGGGGGTCTTGCCATCGTTCTCTCTCGTAAGAGGTCGTCAAGTTGCTGGGGATTAGGTGTTTGTTTGGGGGTTCCTTGGTGGGGGGTTGGGGGGCGGGGGGTTGGGGGGGGTTTACGTAGGTTTTTTGGGCCACCATTAATATAATTTAAATCATCTTGGGGGCAGGCCTGTCAGGGCCAACCCGGGCTGAGAGAGATACTACCTCCCTGTAGAGAGACCAAGATACTGGGTACAAAATTCTGCCTATACAGGAATTAAACGCAGGTTTTCTGTGAGCAAAGGCAAAGCGCCTAACAACGACACCACCTACACCGGTCGTCAAATTAATCTAGACATTCCAAACAAGTATTATACTATTATGAGTATTATAATTATACAACTTATACAAGTGTTGTTTAAATAAAGAGCCTACAGGCGAAAAAAAACAAAACAACAACAACCGCAATATTCTGGAAGAAAACATTACTGCTCTCGTGAAACAAGTTACAATGTAAATTGAGTACCTGCCAGATCCTGGAAAGATCTCTCAAGTTGAAGACGTAGTGGAACTTGGCTGGTGTTGGCAACATCTTGACTTTCGTCTTCTGCCACAAGTGGCGAGTAGCAGGCACCAGCATCTTCACCAGTTCGTGAACCTCGTCAGAGAAGCCACGGTCCTGGAAAAGTTACAGCATAAAAGAGGACCATTTGAGTCGGGAGTGGAGGTAATGCTGATACTCTTATAAGACTTAAAAAATACAAGAAGAGTTTATACTGAAGTCAACTAAATGTATTGGAATGATGATAATAATAATAATACATATTATTAATAATAACAATAATAATATATGATAATAATGATAATAATAATTTTTTTTAAATAATAATAATAAAAATGGTATTTCTACGGCACCTTCCTTTGAAAATCCAAGCAGATAAAAACAAGGTGTGTTTACGCTGATCATTACCCATAGCATAACACTTGTCTAAATTGTTTTTAAAAAGGACAGGTAGTCGAAATTATGCTTGTACTCTTAAAACGGATTGAGAGAGAGAGAGAGAGAGAGAGAGAGAGAGAGAGAGAGAGAGAGAGAAAGAGAGAGTATTTAATGAATAAACGTATCTAGATCTAGAATCTAGATCTATATTTTGTTGTGCACCCAGCCAAGAGTGTGCAGTTCTGTCTAGATTTAGATTCTACATTTAGATCTAGATCTAGATAGATCTAGATCTAAACATCTAGATTAGATCTAGATTCTAGATCTAGATACGTTTATTCATTAAATACTCTCTCTTTCTCTCTCTCTCTCTCTCTCTCTCTCTCTCTCTCTCTCTCTCTCTCTCTCT